TGCCCGAGTTCCTGGAAGGGCAGCTGTTCTTGCAGGGGATCCTTCGATTAGTGCAAGGTATTTTCTCCACCCTGCTGGGTACATATTGGCTCTAGAAAAGAAAAAAAAACCATCTATGGTGGCACAGCCCCAGGAACGCTGTGTAAGCAAAGTGTCTGTTCATGCCCCTGCTCTGGAGGATCAGCCTGGGCTGGAACGGGACAGAAAGTTGCAAAACAAGCTGCTTTACGGCTCTACCAAGGGGTTTGAAGCTCCCAAAGCAAGAAGGACTATGGAAAAGGCAGAACCCATCTGCTGGGGCCTTGCCTAGAAATAATGGCACCACATGGTCCACCACATGGTCAGGAAATAATAATTATTTTTAAAGTGTGCTGGCTTGCATGGTAACTCACCCTGCCCTCTTCTGGACTTGGGCAGTCTGGCAAGGGGCAGCATTTTGGAAATCGGATTGAAATTTGGAAATTTCAAAATCTGGAATTTTGAAGTGCTYCAAAGAAATGCCCAGCCATCTCTTTGCTAGCTCGGGGATAGCAGGATCCCTTGTGAAAAATAGAGCAGTGCCAGAGAGCAGAGAAACTGAGCAGGCCAGGGCAAAGAGTTGTGCCAGTGTGCCTGACATCTTCAAACCCACGTGCTCTGGGGTTAGAGAGGGCCAGGAGGCTGGTGGCTCTTTTGCAAGCCAAGGAGATGCAACTTGTTCCTGCAGGGAGGCACCTCCTGCAGCCTCTTATCTGAAAAGCAGCCAGGAGGGCCCCGCCGCCGCCTGCCCTGCGGGCAGGAGGAGTGAACATGCCCGAGCAGCTAATTGCTGCCCGTAAGCTGAGATTAAGTTATATTGCTCTTCACACTTCTCCTAAAGGACTCAACTCTGTGCCTTCCCCCAGGCCAAACCAGAGCACAGCAGGGCTTAGGAGCACATGAAAATCCTCTTGATTAAATGCTGTTGTGTTCACATTAAAATCCTCTTGATTAAATGCTGTTGTGTTTTCACACTGCATTTTTGATTCAATTTGAAATACATGGCATAATACATCGACCCCTCCCACTTGCCTCCCAGTTACATATTCTCCTTATAATGCCTCCTTCTGTCCAGCCCTCGGCATGTCTCCTTTACCATTAGCAGAAAGTCGCTGCAGACGAATGTCCCTATCGAGCAGACCTCCCAAAGTGCTGCCAGCAAGTCCCAGCACGGGGTATACGGCTGGGCCATGCCACAAGGCCCTACTCTGGCTTCACATACATAGGTTTAGACTGGTACCCACTCTCTGGGTACCTAGCACATCCTCTGGAAGGGGGGTGATGCCCTCGCAGAGCTTTCCTCAGCAATTTCCCCAYGACCCCAGGTGCATCCAGGGTGCCACAGAGGACTGCATTTGCTCATGCTCTTCCCTCTAGCTCTCCGTCCTTCTCACTTCTGTGACASACTCTCAGCTAGAGAGCAAAGCTTGCAAAGGCAGAGCCTGCAGGAGAAGGGGCAGAGGGGCAAAGGTCTTCAAACACCTAAAGGAAACTTAAGAGGAAGGGAATCAATTTCTTGCCCACCATGGCCAAGCAAGGGAGCGGGAAAGCAGGAAGATAAGAGATGTATTTGGAATGACACCCGATCTCCAAGGATTGTATAAAAGCAGGGAGAATATGGGATCTCAGGGCATATAAGAGAGAGAAGTGGGGAGAATTTATGTGCACACCACAGGCAATGGCACATACTATAGACTTCTTAAGATAAACATGTGCGTTTCATACCATTCAGGGCAGCTGAACACACATACATACAAACAGAGGCATATATACGCACATATGTACAGACACACGTATATGCACACACACATATATACATAGATATACATAAATCTATATATATATGCACACATTTGTGTCCTTTAAACAGCAGTCAATGCACATGAGCATCAGTTTTATAATCAGAGAGGCTGTAGGGGTAGATACTCACTCGCTCTTCCTGCACGTGGCAAGAAACATTCAAATTCTTCTCATCTCCTCCAATAGCCAGATATCTAGGCTCACGCTCCATTGTCAGAAGAGCAGATGCATCTCTGGCAGGCATTTAGAAAAACACAAAATGAGCATTTTTTTTTTCTGCTTCTCATCTCTGCGCCATTCCTCGGCGTTTGCAAGTGCGCGGTGTAATCAGTTGCAGCTTGTTCCTCCTGCTGGAGCCGCAGAAAAGCAACAGAGCCGAAGCAAAAGGACATTCTGCGCCTGCTGCTGAATCCCTTGCGAAAAATGCAAAGGAGAAGGATGCAGTTATAACTCTTCCTGATGGAGTTTTTATCCTTTATGCTTTTCTCTTCAGGGAACCAAGTAAATTGGTACCGTTATTTTGCAGTAGATGTTAATAATAAGATTTTTTTTTYCCCTTCTTGCAGCACAATTTCCAAACAGCTCTGTGTAACCTTGTACCAAACATGTTCCTGTAGTCTTTGGCAAGGAATTGCCCTCCTTCTCCGACTATTTTCTAGTTGCACTTTGAGCAGTCCTTCCTACAGGCAACAACTTAGCACATATCYCTGAGAGGTGCCAAATGCCAACATTGCCAACAGGTAAAATCTTGCGCCTGGCAGACAGCTACAGACATTTGCTGTGCTCTTTACCGTCACTGAGGTCAGGCTGGTTCTCCAGAAGGTTTATTTCATCAGCTAAATATACGACCTCCCGTCACCTGGAGAAGGAGCTGGTTGGGAAGAAGGCAATATTTGCACCTACCCAGAGGGCTAGACACCCCCCCAAACCTGGGCACCCTGGCTAGGCTTTCAGATACCACCCTCAAGCCCCTCAAAACATAAGAGGGAAGGGGATGGCATAGGTTCAGGAGCCGAGAGGGAAAGATCTCTCGCATGGAGAGTGACGGTGACTACAAAATCCTTTAAAGAAACTTCCTTTTTTTTTTTTTTTTTTTTGCATTACATAGTTCACTTGGGGACAGGTAACAACTGACCGTGGCTAGAGAGCGACTGCGTGACCCTAGCACCAAGGACATGACGCAAATATTGGAAAAGTGCAAGGCAGGGTGGCCCTCCGTTGAGTAACACTTGCTCTGTCGTGTTCACGTAACACCGTCTACGGGTGATCCCTCTCTCTGGATGCCTGTGGGCAGCTGTGGACTAGCTCTTTGGACCAGCTCCTCATAACCTTCCCAACGAGACAGACAAGGCGAGTGCAGTGTTTTGCTCTCCCAGGAAAGACCCCGAGGGCAGAGGAAGGACTGGGAGACCCATTGCTCCAGTTTTCCACTTGGCCATGATGCTCCCCTCCCTAAAGGGTGAGGAAAACAGTCCTTCAAGCCCCTGCTCTGCCTGCTCGTGAAGTCAGAGTGCTACACCTCTTTTCCTTCTTTTGCCTCTCCCATTGCTTTATCACTTTCCATGTACATGCACTGCTTCCCCTAGCGCTCTCCCCTGCCTTTGCCTTCTGCCCTCCCTTCGTGGCTTCAGCTCACTGCTTTCCAAAGAGAGCAGGATGACCAACCTGGCTTGCTTGGTTGGGCTCATGACATGCCAAAGTTGCCTTGCTAAAGCTCCCGGAGCTGCAGGACCTCAGTGTAAAAGGCACTGCCAGTGAATGCATGTAGATATCCATCCATCCCCGTGCCTTGCGGGCCCTGCATGACCTGGGGGACGGCCATGGGGTGCAGGGCTAAAACACGGACAGGAGAGAGCTGGGGTTTGATTTGAGAGCTCGGAGCCCTGGGAGAGACACCATGAGTGGTCTCTGCAGCTCCCCAGCACCCAAGCACCGCAGTGGGACTGTGCAGAGCACACGACTGTGCAGCCAGCAGCCCCGGCTGCGGCTCCCACAGCTCAGCGAGAGCAGAAAGCCAAGCTCTCTGCAAGCACAGCCGACTGCCTCGGCCCCTGGGCATTTATCTGCCAAGGGACAGGCTGCACTCGGCCTTGACGCCCTGCTTTCCATTCTAGCCAGTCTTCCAGGCAGGTGAGCAGGGGCCCAGGAGCTCAATTAGYGGGGCCGGGGTCAGATCACAAATCAGGGGCTTTCAGGCAGATTTAGCGCCCTGGATACTCCCGTCTCAGGCTTCCTGCCTTGGGCTCCAGTAAGTGATTTATTTTTTCGTCTGCCATTGCTTTATTTTTAGTCCATGCACCGGACTTCATCGTTAGCTCACAAGCTCTTATCTGGGGCTCCCTGGCCTCTTTAGCACATGGGAGGCAGCCCCTGCACCGGCGCCTGTGGGACCCTGCCATGGGGAGATGCTGCTCGCAGTGGGGCATGGGGTGCACGGGGGCTTTTGCTCTCTCCCGTGCAAACCTAGAGCGTGCAAGAAAACTCGCCCAGCTGAGGACAGATGTTGTGCCTTTTAATTCGCATCCGGCATGTGAGGGCTTGAGGAAGCCGAGTCTGCCAGCTCGGCTGAGTTTCACTGACTGCTACAGCTCAGTGCCTCTCGGCTGCTCCTGTATCAACAGCTCCACGAAGGAAAACATCCTCCTGAAGGAGGAGCGGAGCGGTGGGGCTGGAGGGCTGCATTTGTTTGCCTTTTTGCGCTATGTGCGCAGGCATGCGTGTGTGTGCCTGCTGCAGGGCAGTCTGCGGGCAACGCTAGCACTGCGCTGGCACACGGCGGCTCGGGTGGCGCGGAGGGGACAGCGTGACCCCAGCTCCGGCGGCAGGGACCTGCTGCAGCTTTGCACATCAGCCTCCTAACTTTGCATCCTTTGCTATGTGCAGAGGGAGCGTTGGGTGCCGTCCTCCAGGCTGTTAATGAGGAGGCTGCAGGGTACTGGCAGCAGCATTGATGCTTGGGGGCACTGCTTCCAGCTGGGCTTCTGCTGCCCATCACAGCCCTCGAGCCAGGCAGCTGAGCCAGGCTTCAGCCCAAGTCACTGCCCAGTTACCAAGCCCAAACTTCATCAGCTTGGCTGTAGGGAAGTGATGGGAGACAGCACCCAAGGTAGCTAAATCCATTGCTAAATCCTTGGTTGTTTCCAGCAATAATAAAATGAAGATTTCTTTTTTCCACCGCCCAGGCTTGCAGGGACTGATGGCCTTGTGAACTACCCCCTCTTCAGGCAGAAGGGTTTCAGGCCTTGTTTCCCCAGGTAAGTTTTCTATCAAACACAAGCATTTCTCCTAGGGTGCACGGCGGTGGGGTGTTGATGTAAATGCTGTGCTAAAACACTGTCCTGCAGAGAGGATCCATAAAACCGTGCTGGAAATGAGAGCAGCATTGGGTGAGGTTTGGGATGAGCTGTTCAGCTTTGGTTTATCTGGGCTAATTTCATTTACAAGACCCAGGGCTGCAGTCCTTAAAGTTGTAACCTGACTCTGCGTCCCTATAAATGTGACCGCTGCAAAACAGTAACAGTAACTGCAGTAATAGTCCTCTAATCCAGTTAAATATAATCACTAATCCATCAGATTAGCTCACTGTGGACGAGGATTTGTAATGACTCCAAACAGGACACAGAAGGAAAGTTCTGCTCTGTTCTTACTGGCAGTGAACAATGAAGATCCTCATCCAGCCTGATGCCAGAGCAGAGATCTAAGCTGTGATTTCTATTTTTTTTATATATATAATACACTGTTGATTGAAGATGGATGGGTGAAGTTCTGCAGTGGTGAAGATGGAGTATGACTGGATGACTGTCCCCTTAAACTGGTTCCTAGAGAGGTTAACGGGAAACTTGTATGGGTCTGTACCCACCTGGGTAAAGTTCTCACTGGCCAGTTTTGCAGTGCAGGGGTTGCCTGTACGTGACCAGAGCAGAGTGCTCCTTTTGAAGCAATTGTGCCCTGCCATGTACCCATCCGAGCTCGTTAGCCGCTTGGGATTCACAAAAATGCCCAGCTGGTGCCTCCCTGGCACGCTCCACTCATCATGTGGGCTTCTTACTGGGAAGTTGTTTCTTCCCTTTATATAACCCGCCTAAGCATGGATTCCTAGAAGAGCGATCAGATGACACCGGGAATGGGGACAAAGAGCTCACAAATGGGTGTTTCAAAGCCCCTTTCTTTTTCTGCAAGAAGCAGGAGGCTGATAGGCACAGAGCGGAGCGGGAGGGGTACTGCAGGCAGCAGTTGCTTTCCAACCCTAATTGTCCTTCTGCTACTTATCTCCCTCCTAGGGTCTGTGCTTGCCCCTGTCTCCCGCCTCAGCTCGTGCTAAGGCTCCTGCCTGCAAGGAGATGCCACCCTTCATCAGAGAAGTAATGACAGACCCTCACTAGGCCCGCGAACACTGACATGAAGCAACCTGATTTATGGTGACCGTTCTGCCCCGGATTTCTGGCTTCCTTCCTCCCTTTAGGGCTCAGCTTGCTGCTCCTCGCCACCCGCACGTGGTAGCTTCATGAGACAGGAACTGGCAGCGGCCACTCCTGCCRCGCTGTGATTTTCCCCAGCAGGTGATATGCCCATGTACTGGGAGGAATCGGTACTGGGATGGGCAGGGAAAGTGGRTGAAGCCCTTGGCCCAGGAAGAGAGAAGCTGCTGGGGAGGAATTGCAGTGCTCAGCTAGTTTGGCATCCRGCCAAAGGAGATTTAGCATCCAGCCCTCCGTAGCGTTGCGAGCACAGGCATGCAAGCCTGACCACCACGAAGCAGCGTGACCGTTCCTGACCATGGAAGCACATGCTCTTAACTGCATCAAGAGTGGCTCTGTTTGGAAGCTTTGAYTCTTCCCCTGGCAGTCTGAGGGCAAAGATGGGTGAAGGAGACCGGGAAGARAGCAGGGCTGTTGTGCATGCACAACAGTGGGGAACTGTGAGCCCGGGACCACGGTTTGGAGCTGATGTCCATGAGGGATCAGGGGGAGGCTGAGAGCCTCCTGAAAGCTCCCACGGGTGCTTGTCTGTACCTAAAGCCCCTTGAGAGCCTGGCCCTGAAGTTCCTCTGCCACCCCCAAAACTGGCACCTCGCTGCTCTGTTCACAGGCTTGGTCAAGTGCCAAACGTCCCCTTCCTGCAGCGGTGGGAAACGTTTCTGCTTGCCAGACCCTCTTTGCTGGGCTGAAAACTGCTGCTGGCTCTGCTGTATTTCGGTGGAGGACAGGGCTGGAGAAGCGCCAGAGCTGGCAGTTGTCGGGGGGGCTCCTGTTGCAGGACAGCTGGGGAGAGGCAGTGTCCCCAGCCACCCCCACTGCCCCCATTCCTGGAAAGGAGGCTGGGGAGAGGCTAGCCAAGAATTCCTGGGGATGCAGGGGGTCAGCAGGCTTGGGCATAGACCCTTCCATAGGTATCTACATACTCCCARGGATGATGAACACTTGAAGTGCCTCCTTAAGGCATGGACATTCCTGGGTTGCAGCACTGGCCACATTTTCTCTCTCTTTTTTTTTTTTTTTTTTTTTTAACCATTCTAACAAATTTGTGGGAGAAAATCCTGGAGCATAGTCCTGGGCTGGCTTCACAACATGGGAAAAGCAAACAGGAGGGACGAGAGCAACAGAGAGATCAGAGCAGAAGCTCCCGTCAGACAGGCTGCTGAAAGGGCTGTGAGAAGTTCTCCGCATGCCCTTTGCCAGGGTCATCCTCACAGTCTGGGAAACACTGCCGGAAGAGAGGTTGTTCCATGAATTTTGAATGTAAAGCAGCCCGGAAGAGGCAATAAATGTGTTCCCATGCTGACACACATGCCCACTTTCTCCCCTCCTCCCACTTTGGTACCCAGCCATGGTGCTTGATCCCTGGACTATATCCCGCTCCATAACCAGCTGCCCCTCCTCAGTCCTGTCCAGCTTGTCACTCCCAAAGGCCACACTCCTCGTAACCTCGTTACCCTCCCTGATCCTCCTGTCATGCCCAGGTTAGCTCATGTCTGAGTGTCTAGGGCGAAAGATGAGAACCAGGAGGATATTCCCAAAATGGGAATTATGGGACCAGCGGCAGCAGTTTATAACTTGTACTACAGTGGTTTTGAATTGAAGCAGTGGTGGGAAAGATAGCTTAATGAAGTGCAAAGGATTAGAAGTGTGAAGGACTAGAAGTTGAAAAAAAATACCAGCTTACTTAAAAAAACAACAACAACAACAACAACAAAACCCTTTCATGAGGCATGTCCTGCAGTCCCTACATCCTTCCTCCCCGGGATTTAATAAATCCACTGCTCCTTGTGTTCCCAAACTGGACAGTCCTGTACCCAGAGGAGCATGGGCCCAGCCCCACACATCCTCCACAGGCAAGAGCTGGGCCTAGAGCCACGTGGGTCCTTGCGGGCCCATCGTTGGAGGAGCAGCGAGCAACGTCCAGAGAAGGTCACTGCAGCAAGGCCAGGGCTCAAGGCTGCTTGTCCAGCTACCGCGTGGCTTTGCAAGGGACCCGGGGTGAGGATGAGCTGWCATCCACAGTGTCCACTTGCTGCGTGAAGATGCAGAGCAGAGAGGCTATATTGCAGATGCTATATTGCTCCTCTGTCCCGAGCAGGGCTGGGAAGAGGAGGCCCAGGAAATGAGGGTGTATTTCATGTCGACTTGGCTACTTGGTGAAAGGCCGGGGCATTCAGGAGTAGGGGAGGAGGGGAAGATTATCTTTGCTGCAAAGAAAACCAAGCCAATCCACCATGGAAATCTCCTCTTGAGATTTGAGAAATGATGTGAAAGTCACTGTTGATCATCTGGATCCCCACAGTGCACTCATGCCCCGCTATAGGGTGCCCACTGCAGCAGAGTATGCAGCCCTCGGCCAGCCAAGCTGGGAAGCTGCTGTACAAACATTTCTCTTATCTCACATCATCCACATAAAGACGGGGTCTGCCCTTCACCCCTCTGACAGCAGTCGCCTCCATAGTTCTACTTTTCACCCCATCTCTGCTCTTTGGTTACCTGATAGGCATCATCGCCACAGCTGTGCTTCAAAAAAGGCTGTAAGTGCTAAAAAATCTGGGGKTTTGAAGCCTCATAGGCCCCTCTTTTGGCTTTGTGCTCTTAAGGGTGCAGAACTAGCAAGCAGTGGCTGGTTTGGATTATCCACCCAAGGTACGTGCTTTTAAGGGCAGATACTGTGTGCTCGGATATAACTTGATGGAGTCAACAAGAGGGGGAGATGCTGAGGAATGAGTTAGGGAAGCAGGACACAGGAGAAACAGGAGGAAGAGAGGCCCAYTTCAAGGAATAACATCAATGCACCCATATACACAGCCCCTTGTTGGTGCTGCCCGCCCYTACAGAAGGAAGATCATGCAAGGCTCTGGCTCAGCACAGCCATGGGAAACAGCACTCCCATTGCCCAGCAATGCCCCGCGGGATCCCAACAGAATCAGGTCTGCAGGAAAGCTGCCCTGGGATGTCCTGATCTCCGATGCTCCTGCTGCAGCAACTGCGAAAGGCAAGGGAACGAACGGTTGGGGTTGAGGTGCTGAGGGAGATGCACAGAGCTGCACGGGGAAATCACTGAGGTCCTTCACTTCCAACCCCAGAAACGCTGCCTGCAAGATGCTTTTCTCCCCACCAGCCCCTCCACCAGACATTTTCTGGGGCAGTTCATGAGAGCAGCAGAGTGCGGCCAAACTGACTGCTCCTCTTCATCACCTCCGAGTGCTTTAGGAGCGCTCCGTTGGCACTAGCCCAGCCTCCTGCTCTGCAAAAGCCGGCAGCTGCTGCAAGCAAAGAGGAAAAACGGGGAGACAAAGAGGAGGAAAACACCACAGGAACAGGCACGAACACCTCCTTTCCACCCTCGTTATTGTGAGAGCGCAGGCCTCGTCCAAACCCGGACCCGCACCTCCCCTCGGGCCCGGAGTAAAACAAGCAACGGCGGGGGATGAAGCGGAGCGGCAGCGAGGCCGAAAACATGCCGTTCCCTGCAACCCGAGCGAGGCCGCGCGGGCTGGAGCGGCCCGCTGGCAGCGCGCGGATTGGCCCTGGGCTAGGGAGCCCGCTCCGGCGTTGCCGGGCAGATCGGGAGATTTTTTGGGAGCCGGAGGGAGGGGGGGCACGCGCGCCCGTGCGGGCAGCGGGCACAGGGCTCGTTTTGTGATGCCGGATTCCAGCTCGCCTCCGCCGGCGCGCTGGGACACGGCGCCCGCCGCTTTGTCTCCCGCCGTCGCTCTTTGGGAGACGGCGATCGGGGGGAGAGAGCGGGGGCTCCTCTCCCGCCCTCTCCCGCTCCCGGAGGGAATGAGCACGGGGCTGAATGTCCCCATTGTGCGGGCGGGGAGGGAGCAGGAAGCAGAGTCCTGGTCGCGGCGGGCGGCCGGGCACCTCGGCGGCCCTGCGCCAGGCCGGGATGCGCCGCGGGAACGCAGCGGCGATGCGGAGAGAAGGGGGGGAAAAAATAGAATAAACAATAAAATACAAAGGCTTTGTAAGTGGAAATGCCACCGAAACACAGGGGAAACACAGCCCTCCTTGGCGGGATCTCCAAAGCTAAAATACTGGTGCTCAGGGGCTGCCCCACAGCCTCGAGGGTCTGCAAGTGCTGCTGTGGCATAGCAGTCCATACCAAACCCCTGAACAGGCGTTTTACACCAACCTTTTGCATGCCTGGCAAACCTTGGCCGTGCTGAAGGGCCTTGGTTCACCTTGATGTTCTCTCCCTCCTTCACCACTRCCGGCTGGGAAACTTCAAAGGCGCTCAGCGCTCCCACAGAGCTCGAGAGCATGAAATTAAACCCTACAGCAGCAGACAAAAACTTCAGTGGCAGCAGGAAAGGATTTTTTTTTTTTCCTTAAACTTGTAAAAGCCAATTGATTTGTCTAGGCCAGGACCCAAGCGAAAAAGACAAATCCTTTCCCAGATCCCCATGCCAGGTCTCTGCTCCATCCTCCTGCGCAAGGGACTGGCTGCCGGGTACCTCCGATCAGAGCCTGTGCTATGCAGAAAGAAGTACAGGGGAGTTAAGGCTCAAAATAAGTGAGACCTTGATCCCCCCAGAAGTTATTTAACTTTGGGTTTTTTTTCTTAAAACACAAACAAAACCCATATTTTGAAGGGCATCTGCACAGCTTTGGGGCCCCCATGTCATGTTACCGGATAACTCAGGCTGCCAAGAACCTGGGTTTTGTCCTTCAAGGGACAAGTTGTGGGGCTGGCATCCGTTTAGCTTTTCTGATGGCATCCRTTTAGCTTGTCTGATTTCTGAAATTTGCTTGCTCATTAGAAGACAAAACAGAAAATCCACCACCCTGTCCTCTGCAGAGGAAATATAAATAGACCCATGGGCCTGGCTGCCATCTAAACAAGTATGATTCATTCCATGTGAACAACATAGGAACCCRCAGTATTTCCAGTTTCCTGGAGCTTATTACATGACTCTTACATTAATTGAATGGAATTTTATAAAGGAAGCAGACACTCACTTAATTAGAGCACCTTGTAGCTACAGCATTCCTGGGAAACCACATGCACTTTTGGATGTGCCTGTTCTGAAACATGAAATGATCCCACGCAGAGGCTTGGGAAAAAGAAGGGGAAAGAAAAAGTGCCTATTTGCCCAGGGTCCAGCATTTCCCAGATAAGTGAATGGAGAGACACAGCACCCACAAGGGAAAATCCCACC